GGTACTATGCTCAATTTTGATGCTTTATCAAGGTTGCAAATGTTTACATATGAAAATTGCAAAAATATATATTAGGGTCTGAAAAGAGATCACTAAAATTTTCATGTCGGTTTAATTAAAATAGAAAATTATGTAAACATGTTTGTTTTTTTTTTTCTCTTTTTTAAATAAATTGCAAGCCTGAGTTAACTCGAAAGTTAAGACTCACATTTGAAAATGTGGAAAAAGATTTTAAATTTAGTAAAAAATTTTTTTCGCAAAAATGTTCTAAATGCAAAGATTCAAATAGCTAAAATAACTACAAAGGTTAAGCGGAAGCTACTTTAAACAAGAAAGAAAAAAAAAAAAAAAGAATTGCAACAACATAAAAAACATTAATATTCGTTGTCCAGTCAAAAAATTTTTTAAAAAATAAACTATAAATTCTTAAACTTTCAACGTAATTGCTGTATGGCTTCGAAAGCAAATATACTACCATACAATTTCTCGTATACACGTACACATACTGATGTTGATAACGCAGGAAGAGTTAAAGAGAAAATCCATAAACCAGATTTTCGAGTGAAAATCTATAGAACGTAACAAGGATTTAATGTCTTATACAAACAATAGCTCTTAAGGTATATGCGAGTTGGTCGTTTGGTTGGTTGTTTGGTTGGTTGGCTGGTTGGTTGGTTGGTTGGTTGGTTGGTTGGTTGGTTGACTGGCTTGGCTTGCTATCCTTGCTAAGGATACATGATAGAGAACATGAGAAATTGGACTAACTTTAAAACGTAAGGTTAACGTTTATGATAAGTGTTTTAACACCGTTAAACGTTTAGGGCCATAAAATCATAAAATATAACGACTTAATTTGATTTAATGTGAATCGTTAAAACGACTTCTTTCTAACGTAGTCTATTTATCACTTGCTGTGTTATATGCACGTTAAGCAAATAAATGTAACAAATAAACAACAGCTTAACATTAGTAGAATAAGCGTTTGCTCAAAAGGCGAATTAAAAAATCAAAAAGATAGGGTTCTTAACAATTTTGCTTTGTGGTTACTTTGTGGTGTAATAGAAACGATGAAAGACTTTTCGAAGAAGAAGGATTTGCTTCATCTTTAAGCATATGTCTAAATTTGCCTTCTCCGTAATAAAGTGTCGTCTCTAAGTTTCACACACAAGTATAAGTTATCCCGCTGAAGTTTACAATACATAGTTTTGGAAGGTCTGCCATAAAAACCAAAAAAGTGGAAGGCTTTAGTTTTTCTGCTTGATGCGAAAAATATATGGTTGATAAGTAATTAATGTCTTACGGTAACCAAAACACATATACGTGAAATGCAAGTCAGTGGAAACTTTAATATCGACAATAAAGCCGTTGAGCAAGCCGTAAATCTATTGAGCATGTTACTAGTGCCTGGAAGTCAAGGAAACCTTTACCAAGGAACGTTGTCAGTAAACACTCATGCGATTGTAAGGAAAAAATGCACCCTATACTTCAAAAGTAATGACGACTCAATACTTTAAACTTTGGCTCTATATGGCATAGCTTGCACAGGAAACGTCAATTGCACTCAAGTGGCATTTGATGGTCTGCTTAATTGGATTCGATTTTGTCTTATAGTTACTCTGTTAACGTGAACATGCTGAATTAATCGAAACTTTGCAGAAACAATTCTCCCTTCTTGGACAAACGAATTGATATTGGGATCTTTGTTCCATTGCCACCGAATGAAAATAAATTGTAACTTATGTGCTTATCCTCACTAGGGAAACATATGCTTAACCTTACAAAGATAATACATGGTGTTGTTCCTTGATGTCTCTCGGAGATATTTTCTATGAAGGCAGGTTAATTTCATTATTAAGATTCTTCGCGAAAATTTTAATGATATTTACAAACTAATCCCTTTGACTTATTCCTTAAATACCTTGGAATTCATTTTTCTTAATGCTCGGGTGTTACTGGCGTCATAACAAAACTTTTAATTGTCAACATCGCGTCAACATTTGGGCTTAGTGATACACTTTCAGTTAGCAATCGTAAATGTTTTTCGGGGTTTAAATGTATTTTTCGTTTTATTTTTTGTTTCCTCGTTTTCTTTTTAAATTTTTTAAAATTCTTTTCTTTTTATTCAAACCTCCACTCGTCATCTCATAGTTAGGATTATAATTTTAAGTTTGCCTAGTTTAGCTGAGTCTCTATTGTGATTGAATATTCTATGCACGATTCAATATTTCAAAGTGACACCCTTCGATTATGATACTAGCTTCGACAGGAGACCTATTGTCTGTTCGCACAGGGTTGCCGCTGTTATGAAGATACCTCTTAAATATCTCTGAAAGGTTGGAAATGCGGTGCCTCGGGATCTAATATAATTTGAAAAAGATATATTTTCACTTGAAATAAGCGGTTCTTTAGCGGTCAATGATCAAAGAAAATGAAAAGGTTTTTTATTATCAATTTTGAGGAAAAATTTTACCTCTATCACTGGGAAAAACGTCCGGTTTCCCGCTTTTTAACTCCTTTCCTCTTTTCAGGCAAAGAATCCTGATTTGCTAATTTGCCAGGGCTAAGTGGAAATGACTTTTTCTATTCTAAAATCTTTTAACATACCTTGATGTGTCAGATCGATTTTCATTTCAATACGTTACTCATACCGATTGTTCGTTTTCGGTTCCGATGAGTGTTCACTGCGTGCAGGTAGGTAGTGAAAGGTAGGTACTGAGAGTCGATCAGAGGACTAAACAACATACAGTAATTTAGTTTTCTCAGTTATTGTTTATAGGTTGGAGCAGATATAAGGACAAACATTTTCTCGGTGTACGTGAAATTTTCTTGATTTTTTGAACGAATTATAAGCCTAATTCTGGGTAGTACAACTTTCCTGCGATAAATAAAAAAAAAAATCCAACCATTAGTAAAAAATCGTCCGCTATTCAGAATGAGGCTTTGCGTAGCATTGAACATATGGAGAATGGCGATAATCAGGCAAGTAGTTGCAACCGCTGACTACACGAAGAATGAAGATTAAAAATTAAACATATCCGAAGAATAATTTAATTAACATGAAATATCGAAAGACTATCATAATATTTATGAATGAATATGGCTTTGATGAATTTTTAGGAAAGCTATGAACAAATGTAACCATTATTTGGTGATAAATTTTTCCTGAGAAACGAAAGAATTTGAGATGAAAGATTTTGAGTTCAATTAGGCCGATAGGGATGCAGAAGGAGATAAATAGATCAACTTCTTTAAATCAAGAAAATGTTCCAAGTATTTGAAGAAGTGTGAGATGAATTTTTGAAGATTTTTAATAAATATGCAAACACCTACTCACAAAATATTACTTGGATGCAACAGAAGAGTATGCTTGCAGTCTGCACTCAGTCAATTTTTGAAGCGCTCTCTTCCTTGGCAAAAGTCGTCTTTGAAGAGCAGAAGTCATAAGCCCGTTTTGTTACTACGAGTGCCTCATTTTCTAATCACGTGCGATTCCAGTATTTCCCTCTTGGGTTGGGATATCGCCGAAGTAAACTTGGGAGGAGGGAGTGGATGGATTTGAATAAATGTAAATACAGAGGCTCGTGAAGTACACATGTCCAACATTTATTTTAAGGTTCGTCTTTGGTTGCTATTTGATTTTTGAACCAAAAGCAATGGGAAAAGAAAATTCCAAATATAAAACATACTTTCTAATACAAAATTTTGAGATCCTTATGCTTAAATGGCTAGACAAATAGAGGGAGGGCTGAATCGATTTGCATATCCATTCGGTGCAGGAGATATGCAATGATATGCCGTATTTGGCAGTCACACTCTCTGCGGGGAGTATAATAGAGAAGTGGAAAACACTTTTGCAAATTAACTACAGTTTACACGGTGGGATTCTGCCACCAGCCTAGGAGTTTTTTCTAATAAAATAAACAAAAATTATTTTTTATTTGCTCTCAATTTTCTTTTATTAATTTTGATATTAATCATAAATAGCTGGATTTGTATTAAATTTTATACAATTTACTTTAATACATTTGCTTCTTTGTTTATGAATAATACCGAAAAATAAATAATAATTTAAATTATTATTTAA